GAAATTATTCGCCAGTTTTCTGATTGTGTTGTTTTAGTTCATAATAAAATACATATTATTTAAAATTCTTGTGATTCTTGTGTCCAATCAATAGGAAAGGCATATTTGGTATTCAAATAATGCCCTCGAAATGGTCGTATCGGTCGGAATCAAAAGCTGGACAAATAATTGGCATAAAAGCAGATCCTATGCTCTCATACATCGTTTGGATAATTGCTTTTCGCTTATGATTTTATATTTTCAAAAATAATCGATTCCTAAAAATAAGTTAATAAATAAATATAAGTTTATATTTCATGAAAGGAGTTTTAAAAATTTCATTCAAATAATATTAAACATAATTTCAATTATTTCTAAAACTATTCAATTCAGAAAACATTTCTCACATAAATCAATGAAATAGATGACTTATAAAATAATCTATTGATAATTAAATATCAATATAATATACAGTAAATCTAATAGATTTATATTAAATGTATATTATTATTCTTAAAGAGCACTGGTAATTTAATTTTTTAATATTTATTAAAGTATATTGTGAGTCATGTAAAGAAAATAAACAAAAATAATACAAGTTTTGAAGGCTTACTATAATTATTAAATAGATAATAGAAAATGAAATTTATTTAAAACCGGTAATTATAATACAATAAAATTGTAAACGGATTGTGAACTTAACCTAAATTGATGCAAAAGACTCAATGGTTTGGCAGCGAATCTAATCCTAATATCTCTGACTATTTAAATGTTTAAATAAATGTCGAAATCATTTGTTTGAATACAACTATGAAAACAAATTATAAATATTGAGACAAATGACACAATCACTGCTTTAAACAATTGTATTGTCACTGAGGGATGAGATAAAAAATAAGAAACTAATACTAGTGTTGAATAAATTGAAAATAATGTCAAATAACTCGAAGAAGGTATCACTGAAAGACTGAAAGGACTAACGTTTTAAACAATTGTATTGTCACTGAGGGATGAGATAAAAAATAAGAAACTAATACTAGTGTTGAATAAATTGAAAATAATGTCAAATAACTCGAAGAAGGTATCACTGAAAGACTGAAAGGACTAACGAATTGTCTTTGAGCTATAATTTGGACTTTCAGGTCAAGCCATCGATTCAATTGAAGGCTATTTGCCATATATTGCTCTTTAATCCCTCTATATTTCATTAAATCCTTGTCTCATATATTCAATTGGATTGCATTTTAACACCAAAACTATATCAATATTTTTAATAATATTGTTTTGTTTGCAAACAAATACAACAGTTATCTAATTATCATATTAACTTTATTTACTTATTTAACTCGATAGCAATGGACTGATAAAAACAATTATTCATTGACATACAGTAATAGATCTAGATCATGTTTATTGTTATTCAAATTAATTATGTGCTCCGATATGACACTAAAATGTATAGCATATGAAAATGTGTTGACTGACTAAATCTTAACAATCATTAAGAGATCATCGAAAGCATACATCCAATCAATAGGAGCTGTCATAGTGTCACTATCCAACTGATCAAGCACATACCACTCATCAATCGTACACCTGAGAGCTACGGCTAATTAGCACTAATAGAGTGACAATACTTATATGTAGATGGTGGATCGGAGTGATGGTAAAGTGCTCATGAGCATGGTACAATTAAGATGTTCGCTCACCATGTGATGAATGTGTTGACTGTGAATACTGTGGCAAACATAAGCTGTCAGTAGAGAGACAATGGATGTGTTGAGTGATTGCTTAGGCTCGGGGAAGGGCGTGTGAGCGGACCAGCGGTTGTGGTCATCGCTGACCATCAGTGGTGTGGGTGACCAACAAATCACAGCTAATATCCACTGCAATCACTGCGATCACAATCAATGTGTAAATATGGCGTCAATAGTCACCATTGGACTCAGCGTTAGACTCATGTAAATACCAGTGAATACAGTGTGAAAACAGTCATATGCAGTCAATACAGGCATTCACTGTACCATTGCATGAGTGGTGGGCGTGTCTGTCACTGCCATCTGGTGTGACCACTGGACACATTGTTAGGCAACAGCAGCTGTCCATTGCATAAGTGCCGCAAATGTTGTCGTTTCTGGGCTTAACTGATGGCAAACTGTGGCCACAAGTGCTCCAAATGAGACACAACGACAATGACGTGTATGGGACGGGCGGTCGCAGTGCACAGCCGTGTCGGGCCTGTCATGACTTCCAGCAGTGGACACAAATGAATGCTCACAAAAGGACTGATAGTAAGACTGATCCCAAGACAAGTGAACCAATTGAACAACACGACGACAAGGAGTGTCCGCTAAGTCGGGACCAATTGGGGAGAAACACGTGGTCTCTGTTGCACACAATGGCCGCCTATTATCCATCGGATCCGACACCACAGCAGCGGACAGACATGAAGACGTGGATAGAGCTGTTCGGGAAGTTGTATCCGTGCGACCATTGCGCTCAAGACTTCCGCCGTGACATGGCGTCAGATCCGCCACAAACGCAAAGTCAACACTCTTTGAGTGAATGGTTTTGTCGGATCCATAATAAAGTGAATGAAAAATTAGGCAAAAAGTTGTTTGACTGCAAGCGAGTCGATGAACGATGGCTTAAGGGCTGGTCTGACGGCTCGTGTGATTAGACAACACTTGATATAATTTATATATAAAACTCTATTTTAAGTAATTTTGTCTAATTTTGTCTAATTTTGTCTAATTTTGTCTAATTTTGTCTAATTTTGTCTAATTTTGTCTAATTTTGTCTAATTTTGTCTAATTGTATATAATTTTCATTCAATTCTTAGTTAACTTTAATTAAAAATAGCAAAAAATACTGTCTTTTAAAGTAGAAAAATACTAAATAATAATAACACAACGGTTTGATTATTTGGTTTGATATGAATATGAGGTCAACGGATCAGTTCCGGTGATATCCATGATTTGATTCTTGAGGTCCATGAGTTTGTTCTTTTGGTTCTGATAACTGCATTCACTCAACACATCCACCCATTCATCACATTGTCTTTGGTTACTGCACATCAAGAAATGCTTTTTATCCAAATCGCTGTCAAAGCCTGTGGTCAAAGAAATCACCACAAACTCAACCATAGGATCACTGGATGTGTAACCAGTGTGTCGGAGACCAGTGAAGTTTTTAAAAAAACGTATCAGTGCACTCATTAAGCGCAGGGTATAAGAAAATAGTGCATTCAAATATATACAGTGTTATGCCGCATGCAGTGTACACTTTAATGTGCAGATTTTTTTTGTGCGGCAAATGTGTTTACCATTGATTCTCACTAACTGTGTCTTAGTTTTATTAATAAAAGTTTAACACAGTTAGTGAGAATCAATGGTAAACACATTTGGCGCACAAAAAAAATCTGCACATTAAAGTGTACACTGCATGCGGCATAACACTGTATATATTTGACCTAGCACTGATACGTTTTTTAAAAACTTCACTGGTCTCCGACACACTGTGTGTAACTGTCTTACATATAGAAAAGGCGAACCCGAGGCCCGACTCGTCCTCCCTCTGGACGCGACACAACTCGATGACGAGACAACCGACCGGTTCCTTGTGATGGACGCCTCCAAACTCATTGACGCGATAGTAAAACAATAGGTTTCCCCTCAACTTAAACCATCGCTCCTTAAAGCCTGTAATCAACGGATCCGACCAACAGATCATCAAAACATGTCATCAGTGGTCAACAGATCATCAAAATATCTCATCAGTGGTCACCACATCGTCAACGCATACCTTCTCTGAATCCTGCGTTCGGGTTCTTGTGGTGAATGCGTCCCTCTTTGATGGCTGGACCCGAAGAATACAGACATAACTCCTTCTCATTGAATCGCATCCCTCTTCACGCAATTAATACTAATTCAGTCAATGAGTCACTAATTATCACATTATTTACACAACATTTGTGTTCAAACTTAAGAGTCTTATAAGACGTGCGCTTATAAGGGGTCTGAGTTTCCTATGGCTTGTCATTACGCAAGCGTTTGCCTCAAAGGCGATGATTGGGACGAAAAGGGGGACAAAAGTATTGTTTATTATTATAGATTACAGAATATATGAATGAAATGAACATATGTTTGGCAAAAGTTGTGCTGAATTGTCGTAAACGTGACTCTCTTTGAAAGCATCAGCCGTTCAGTCAATCAATTGATTTGAATTCAATTATCAGTGCATTGAATGGCAAACAGACGGACAACACATCAATCCTATGGTAAATGAATGCCATTTGAATGCAATCTCATAAGCATTTGACT